TAATGAGATCTTACAAAATGACCCAGGTCTTTGGAACAATTACTAGCAGGACAAGACCAGGCTCTGGAAACAGCCTGATTACACTAACTGGCATCTGATTAAGTTCATCCACTTCAGAACATGCTCAAATAGCAAGGGAGCAGATATAGTGGCCACCTGAGAAGGATCAGTCAGATTCCCACCAAAAAACACTTCATAACGACAAAGTCAGATTCAGGATTTGTACGGACATGTTACACATGTTTGTGCTAGAAAACTCAGACTCTTGCACCACTGAAGGCCTACAGATGACTACTCAGTAAATGACATACCTTTCCAGAAGCTGCGCTTAATTATTCAGAGGTTGTCTAAAATCAGCACCTGACCTTGCCAGGTCTCCCCGCCCCTCCACCCCATCCTCCTGCTCTATTGCTTGCCAAGCTAAGTGCAGGTTCCTTCCACAGAAATAAGGTCTTCAGTAAGGAAACTTTCAGCCCAGAAGGTATATTTCTAAACACAAACAGACATACATGCAAACATTTGACAAAGAACAAAAAACCTGCTTAAATATTCTTTCTGAGATTAACCATGGGCGCTTATGCAAAGGAGGAAAAATGTTTTTTGCTTTGTTTCGTTTTGTTTTAGGGTCACTGAAGTCATTTCAGTCTATTGTAATTCTTCTTTTTCCACATATTTTCACTGTTGTTCAAACAAGAGGTGTTCTTAGGGACTTATTAAAAAGCTAGAAGACTCTAACAGCACTGATATAAATGTTCTCCATCATTAAATAGGAAATTTAGGTTTTCCTTTTAAACTTTATTTATCTTTAATTCTTTAATTAGAACATAATTCTATAAAGCTTGCATTCATACAATGCTTTCAAATATATTTTTGGAGAGGCTCTGATATCATTATCTGCAATTGTTATGGTACCTCACATACGAGGCCCTTAACTGTATTTGGAGTGTCTAGGTAGGCAGGCAAGCCTGGGATTCTTATCTTCCAAAAAGTAACCCATCCTCTACCCACTCAGAACTGATATTACTTATGCTGGCTGTGGGGGAAATAAGTATCAAGTACAATCTTTCCTAAAATACTTTTAAACATGTATTTGCATGAAATAAAGGGCAATTACTTTACTACAAAACTCATCTATAGTCCAGTTTGATCAGGGAGCTGACTAAAGAACACTTTCAGCCTAAGTGGACCTCAGTGAGTTGTGTGTGTGTTTTTTTTAACTGTCCTGAGCTCATTTCTGTTCTTGCTTTCTTTTTTCCTAACACAACATTAGGGTTTTCCAATGTTTTAACAGTTCTTTGGAGATGGCTAAACTGGATTCAGCCACATTAACAATCAACATAGTCTCTGTTCTGAGCTGGTTTTTCACATTAGAATCCACTCCAACTTGGTAGAACTGGAAAGCATACAAAACTTAAATTAGAGAAAAATATTTAAGATATGATTTAAACATTTAATTTTAGGGCACCAAAGAAGGATGGAAACTTCTATCATATTTCAAAAAGTACAGATATTAAGTCTACTACAGTAACTAAAAGTGCAAACAAACAGATACTCCCAGACCATTTTTGAGAAATGTTTAAGACCGTCCTAAAACTACAAGAAATGCTTACCCTGCTGAAAATAAAAGTAGTTCTGTCTCCACCAGCCTATGAAAATCAAGGCTCCAAGTTTGACCACCTCATAAGTATCTCTTCCAAGTTCCAGCTTTTGTTGTCCTAGAATATTCAACTTCTTCAGGCAAATAAAAACAAGCAGCAAAGAGATCTAAATAGTACTTTTTAAAATGTATCCTTCAGCATATAACACAATGCTACAGCAGGCAACTCAATAAATAAAGTAAATTAAATATTGGGGAAAAAGTGTCTTTCAAGGTTCAGTGGCTTTACGTTTGTCTTGCAGATAAATCTGTAAATTTCTGTTGGCTGTGTGTTAATGTGCTCACTTTCCAGTATATAGAGTAACCTTTTCAGCTTCTTCTGCCAGAAGTTTTCTAAAACTGAGCAGGAATTGAGCCCATCAAAAACTTTTAATATAAAATACTCATATAATTTCTCTTTACTTTACTAAAGGCCCGACTTTACTGTAGCTATGGTGCTCACTCTCAAATGCATAACTTACTAGAGCTGATTTCTTAACAAATACACGTGTAGCCTCATACCCTGTGCTATTCCCTGACCATGCACCTTCTGGCCCACCACAAACAGATCTAAAATTCAGGATGACCATTCCTACTTTCCAATCCAGCTCTAAAGAGCTGGTTTTACTGCAGTGGTTCTTAAGTGTAGTACCCAGAAGAGCAACATCAACATCACCTGTGAACTTGTTAGAAATGCACATTGTCAGGCCCACCCCAGACTCATTGAACTAGAAACTCTGGCAATGGGGCCCACCTCCCCAAGTATCCCATACCCTCAAATTTAAGAAGCACTGTTGCACTGCAGTAATTATCAAAACACCGGTGTTTGTACCCTCAGAGCCTGCAGGTGGCACTAAAGACTAGCTAGAAAATTACATGAGCAGGAAGTAGAAGCTGTGTTACAGAACCTGCTGCCTGACAGTTCCTTCTATCAGTTCCTTAACAGCTGCCTCAGACTTCTCCAGTGAGTTCAAAGGTCATAGTGCATCTGAGTTTTGAACATGAACTGGATTTAAATTCTTCTCACAGCCCCAGAAAGTAGACATAAGCAAAGCAACAATTTTACAATTTAAAATCAGTATTTTATTATTTTGAAGGTTTTGGTGTTTAATATAAGGAGGGCATAACACACTTTGAAAATGAATGTCAATACTAATTACAAAGAAAATAAGAAACTTAAATTATCCTCAGCCATTGTGTATATCTGAATAATAATAATGCACTTGATCTGAAAGAATCAGGTTCCTACCCTTAAAATCTCACTGAATTGGCAAGGCTGCATAACGACAGTAAGGTTTTTTCCTAATGTACACAGATAGCCCTTTGCTAGATTCTGTCAAAACCCTGAATTTTGCATTAACTTTTAATATACAAACATCTCTAGTGAGGATGTGGAGCAACAGAAAGTCTCATACACTCCTGGTCAGAGTGTAAATCAGTACAACCATTTCGGGAAAGTGTTTAGCAGTGTCTAGTAACGCTGAACATAAAAATACCTAAGTCAAGCAATTCCACTCCTGGGTATGCACCCTAGAGAAATGAGTTCCTCTGCCTGTCCTAGAAGTGTAAGTCATAATAGTTACCAACTGGAAACAACAGAGAAGGCCGTCCACAGTACAGGAGATAAATATTATGGATATTAATACAATAAAATACCATATTTTTAGGACTATAAGACTCACCAGACCATAAGACACACCTACGTTTGTTTTAGAGGAAAGTAGGAAAAAAATTTTTGAAGGAAAAAATGTGGTAAAATATTTAATAACCTGTGACCCCACTCCACCACTGCCCCCCCCCCACCCACAGCAAGCCAGGTAAGCTAAATTCGGACTATAAGACGCACCCCCATTTCCCTCCCAAATTTGGGGGGGAAGTGCGTATTATAGTCCGAAAAATACGGTACACAGAGAAATGAAAACACAAACCAACCAACAAACTGCTATGCCCAATATAGATGACTCTTATAGGCATATCGCTGACTGAAAGAAGCCAGACACAAAGGAGCACACACTGATCCAAAAAGCAAAATGAATCTCTGGTGACAGAGGTCAGCACAGAGGTTATCAACCAAAATGCATGAGGAGCTCACTGAAAAAGTTCTACATCTTGACCTGGAGGATGGTTACAGGGGTGTATATATGTAAAGCTCATTGAATTACATGGTTAATTCAGCTGCACGCTTAAATGTCTACTCTTCACTGTGCATATGTCATACTTCTTTATAAAGGTGAAAAAAGTTAAACATACACACAAAACTACTGACAAACTGAATAACAATTTTCAACATCCACCACAAAATGTACACTACTTGGCAACTATATCATCAGCAGCAAATAACTTTAGCATTTGCTGAGCTAAATCTCAAATACAGAGAACAACGGATTCTCCTTATTTTCAATGGTTTGTCATCATATTAACATCATTCTATAAAAGGGCCAAACCTTTCTGCTTTCACTCCCTAAGTCCCAAACTCCATTTATCTGCCACTTAACGGGGCCCATCACGTGTGGCAACTGACTGATTATCATCCCAAACTCCTACAGGCTCTGGATGGCTGATACTCAGGATGGGGATGGGGGCTGACAACCTGAATTCAGCAGTCCTGTCATTACCTAATCACCTGAACCTGTTTAACCACCCCTGTCCTAATCCCTACCACCATCCAGCTTCCCTCCTGCTTTGCCATCCAAGGCTTGTAACCAGGGCGGGGGCCGTGTTTCCCAGGCCATTTCGGGCATACTGGATTCTCATTTCCAATCCAGTAGGAACACAGACGCGGGGCCCAAAGTCAAGGAGGGATAGGGAACACCAAGTTACACTTCCTTAGGGCAAGACACCTCCGGGCATCACAGCGCACCGGGAGGCCTTGAACCCACGCTGGTCCCCGCAGGCCCAGGGCCGATCCAAACAGCCCACCAGAGCCACAAAGAATGTAAGCAAAGCCAAGGGGGTTAGTGTATTTGTTCGGGGCAGGGAGGTGGTACTCGGTCCGTTTCTGCGATTTCAGCTTTAGGTTTTAAAACCACAGCCGGCTGTAACGTGTGACCCAGAGGAGGGACAATGTGTTCAAGGGAAAGAATCTGGTCCAACACCTGGGGCCCAGGGGCCCAGGGGCCCAGGGACGCGTAAACCTTAGCAGGCCGCGTCTGGTCTCTTGGGAGGGCGATGGGAACCGCAAGGGTGTGCGCGGGGTGGAAGGCCGCAGACTCGGAAGGCCCGAAGGGGGCAGGCGCGCCCGGAGGCAGCAAAGGGAAGCCCGCCAGGAAGCCCGTCTGGAAGCTACGACCGGAGGGCTCTGGAGCCAGCGTCGAGCGAGTCAGGAAGCTGGGACTAGAGTGCTGCCCTAGGAGGCCGTGTTTACCTGGAAGTAGGAACACGAACTGCTGGGCGTCAGTGCCTTCCCCATAGTCCAAGCGGCCCGCCATGCTGCCAGCCTTCTCTCGCAGCCGAGTGCGGTACCTGCGGGCACGAAAGTCCGAAAATCGCCAGCCTTAGCCCTTGAATCACTAGGCCTGGCTGCAACCCCGGGGAAAACTTCGAGAGAAAGGTCTATTCCGGGTGGCGCCGCAAGCTGGGAGCCTGGAGGGGCCCAGGAGGCGGCCCTCAGAACGAATTTGGTTTCGTTTCCGGAGTCATCCCTGTTAACTTTAACTTCCGGAGCCCGGCTCGCGTTAGGTTGAAAATATAGCGCCAGGCCGGAAGCGACTTGTGCGCTGTGCCCAACCGCCTGCGGCGGTTACAGCGGTTACGATCACTGCCTCTCCCCTCCGCCCGTGGTACCTGCTCACCCGGGGCGCGGAGTGACACTACACCTAGGCGGCAGCACTTGGCCTGTGTGCGGGCGGGCAGGCAGGGTCTCCTCAGACCGCGGTGCCGTCTTTGCATCCAGGGGCTCTCCTATCAAAGGTGGTGGCGAGGCCGAGAGATTGCCACTCGCGGGAGTGGAGGAGGCTGAATTGGGGGGAGGGGATTGGGGACGGGGATGGAAGGGAGCATTGGAACACACCTGGGAGAGGAGGAAAAGCATGGAGCAAGTCCGTATTAATGACAACTGCTATAACATCTGAATCCTAGGTACTCTTGGTTTTCCATATATCTCGACCATCAGTTGTATTCTGAGTAGGAATTAATGTCAGAATAGTGTGTGCTTTGTGATTGATAACACACGCAATCAGTCTTCAAAGTGGGCTGAGTCCTTATCACTAAAAAGAAGCATTACAATTTGAGGCTAAAAATATGAATTTATTATTTTGGAACGTTTGTAGTGAGTTTAAAACATTTTTTAAGGCCCTGGCTGGCGTAGCTCAGTGGATTGAGCGCGGGCTGCGAACCAAAATCTCGCAGGTTCAATTCCCAGTCAGGGTACATGCCTGGGTTGCAGGCCATGACCCCCAGCAACCGCACATTGATGTTTCTCTCTCTCTCTTTCTCCCTCCCTTCCCTCTCTAAAAATAAATAAAATCTTTAAAAAAAATTTTTAAAACAATGTTTAAAAAGTCAGGGTCGTGAAATTGAGGGACTTAAACTGTTAAAAGTAAAATTTTAATTGAAAGATGATGCTTGGTATACATGTTACAAAACATAGGGGGCCAAGGGCAACATACTATTATCGAAAGAACCCCCTACTGGGCTCAATTGTCTGCTGCCTTATAGGAAAGATATCTCTCAATGCCAGAGATTCATGAAAAGGAAAGGAAATGTTTAATGCTATACAGAATTAAAGTAGTGACCTAATGTCTTCATCAAAATCCCATAATCCCTTAAAACACCCACAAACACACATAGTCCTTCCTCCCTGCCTTTGCCTAATCTGGGGTACCGTATCTCAGGAAAAGAAATAGAAGTCCATGGCTCAGGCAGCTCCCCAGTTCTTCTCAGTAATCCATGCTGGGCTGGTAGGCCTCCCTCAGTTCCCGGCACCATCAGCTGTATCGCTGTCCGGGCAGGATCTCTAATTAATCCAAAGCCATGTGGAACCTTCTCATGGCCTACTGGCAAGATTTTTTTCACCCTTCTTCTGGGCAAAGTCACTCCTGCTTCTCCAGCCACACGGCCAAAGGAAGCACCCCAAAGCTGTGTGATCCTCTTCTACCAAAGCTGCAGAAGTCTGCACTCTAGCCAAAACCACAATGGTTCTTCCCTCCACCAAAGTTGCAGGGAGGCGGGGGTCGCCACTCTGCCAAAGCCGCCTGGTGGTACCCCTTACTAAAGCTGCGTGGCTCTCCTTTCTATTGCCACAGCCACATGGTCCTCTCTCTCACAAGGCTGAGGGAGTCCCCACTCTGGCAAAGCCACACGGTTCTCCCTCCTTACATGGCTGTGGGAGTCTGGGTTTAAATCTCCACACCAGTCTTCTTCTGCAGCCCCATTTCTGACTCCTCCCACAATCAGCTACACTTGCCAGCACTCCCATATCCTTCGAGCTTTACTAGGCTGTCATCAGGAGTCTGGGCAGGCGTGGCCCCATAGCATGGAGCCAATCATCTCCAAGCTCTCACGCAGGTGCTGTAGCTAGGGGGAGTTGCCTCCCAGTTAAGTCTTGGGTAGAAGTCAATCCCTTCTTCCTGGCAAAAGCGTGGCCACAGCTATTTAACATATCTATGCAACTAGTTAGAGGTTATAAATATATTAAATGACCATGCCAGAGTTTAGCTGCAAAGCTGTTGCTATACAAAACAGCTCTCAATGCCCTGTTCCATGTGTCCCTTCTTGTGATGGATACTGGTCAGCACTATTCATTACTGCAGATGCTCATCGAAACATGAGAAATACATACACACAGACAACTGAGTCCTGTGGAGAAATACGTACGAAATGGCCACTCTCTCTAGTGGAGAACACCTCGTCCTCCTGCCCAAACAGGCTTTTATTAAGAATACTGATGCAGTTTGTGAATAACAGTCTGACAGGGAAGATAAAACAAGTAGTTAGCTTTGAAAGAGACTGGAAGATCTCACGCTGGGATTGTGGGCTTAAATTTTGGGGTTTTATCATTTAAAAAGACTACAGGATCTAAAAGGTTAGTTTTGTTTCCTGCCCATGCCTTCATATTCTAATTAAAGAGCATCCTTCGGCAAGCAGATCTTACAGGATCTTGCATATTCTATGTCTCAGGTCTGATTACCCGGGGGTCTGCTGACTCTGGTCTGGACTGCACCGCCCCTGTTATTTCCGCAGGCCTGAGTTGGGCAGAAGAGACAAAGGCAGCTGGGAGATTTGGATTTCTCAAGGACTCAGGCTTTGGCAAAACCCAGGGGGCAGGGGTCGATGTCGATCACCCCTTCATTTCCACAGCCCCCCAAGTCCTTCTCTGAGGCTTCCACATGATCGTGCCTGTCTTAGGCAATTCCCCCCGTGAGAAATCTTACCCGTCATTGGCTAACTGATCAAACATTGGGAGCTGGCACAGAACAGGCAGCATTCATGCCAGGGAAATAAGTTTTGTCTCCTTAGTGTCTCCTGGTTTAGAGGCCTCTTACTCAGCCTTAGTCACAGGCAGTTACAGTTTCCTGAGACCAGGCAGGGCAGACCCCAACACCTTCTCCCAACTCACACCTGTGGGGAAAGGGGTGAGGACATCCTAATATTTCCCGGACATCTTGAGTTCTGGACCCCATTCCAAATTCCTATTTTGGGGGCCCCCTCTAGGCTGCACCCTGTATCATACATGGTTTGAAAAAACATAATAAATATTTCTCCTGTACTTTAAAGAAAAGTATGTCTCTCTCCTACCCCAGATCCCCCAACTACCTTCCCCAGGATACTTACTGTTTACTATTTCTTGTCTAGTCTTCCAGAAAATTTCCATGCACTTCCAAATTCTTATGTTTTGCTTTTTTAACAAGTGGAAGAATGATATATATAACTCTTTATCCACTTTGCTTTTTTTGTTTAATCTTGAAGATAGTTAAATTCTACAGCACTATCTCAGCCTCCTAAATAGATTTTTAGTTTCAATCCTGTTTCCCCCTGGGAGGGAAATAGCTGAAGTTGACTGCAGGTGGTGGAGAGGAAGACTTTCTGGCCAAGGAGAGGCACCCAGATGCCAGCTCTGGGGTAGGCATCAGATTGACCTTGTTCTAATCTTTTCCCTCCCCTAAGATTATACTCGGGTAAAGCTCTGGTGTGTAGGCCAAATACCCAGGCACACTATAATCATGACTTACACCTACAAGAGAAATGTTACAACAGTTCCTGTGCTCCAACATAGAGCTATTTTTATTTTTTGCATATCTTTTCCAGCCATTGCCTATATGACTATGTATTTATATTTGGTTGTTTTCACAGGATAAAGGCAATTTTGTCTGCTTTCCTCCCTTTACATCATAAATATGTTTCCACGGCATCTAGAAGTATCAGTGTTAATGAAGACATGTTATTTCACAGTGCTAATGTTCTAAAATTACTTAACAACTTCCAACTGTGCAAGATTTAAGTTATTTCAAAGTAGTATTATAAATAATGCTACAAAGTGTACTATATACTGAGTATGTAGCAGGTAGAAACAATGAACTAGATGTACACATGGGTCATTTATATCAAGAGAAAAAAAGACACAGGAATAGATTTATAGTAGAATACCATGCAGGTAAATTAAAAAAAACAAACAAACATTGAAAAATGATGCAGACTCTGGCCAGCAGTGTCCAGTGTTGTGAATACAACGAACAAATTCACACGGACTACCAAAGTCCTGTAGAGAAAAAGAGATGGCACAGTCATTCTCTGAGTGAGAGAGTGCCCTGACCCTTGCCTGGACAGACTTTTATTGTTTTCTAATAGCATACATCAAAGAGGGTTCCCATTCATTATGCTCAGGTTTGCTTTAGGTGATTACTTTTTACAGATAACAAAGGAAAGGATTTTGCTGATTACTTCTTACAGATTAACAAAGAAAAAATGTTGCAAATGCAAGGGAACGGTAAAACAGATTGGTCTGGTTACACTCCATCCTTGGGAGAATTAGCACAGACTTTAGGAAGTTACTTTAAAGATATGCAGTAAACATTTGCTGCTTCAATTCAGGTTGAAGGAGTTTTAGAAAAAGCAAGCCTCAAAGCAGCCTACATATAATGCAGGCCTGGTTTCCCACAGAAAAGCCGATCTGTGGGTTTGGCTCCTGTGTGCTGACTCTTCCCTGCCGGTTTTCTGACAGGGCTGGGCTACATTTGCCTTTGCCAAGTGGATTGGTTCCCTATAAGTCCTCCCTTGTTTTTAGTTAGGATTGCCACAAAGACTTGGTGGTCTTTTATATGACCCTGGGAAAATAATTTGCAAATGCATTGAAGTATACAAAGCATTATTAAAATCGTAAGCAACTGGCGTCTCTAAAGACCTACATTCTCAGGTTAAGTCCATCAGACCTCTTTTTGTTTGTTTGTTTATACAGCCAAGATTATCACGGAGGGTTTGAAAAACCTCCTGCTTGGTCAAGCATTGAATGTCCTGCAACTGCTGATGTAGCTCTAGCTGCAGTTTATCAATTTGTCCCTTTAAGTTGGTAGAAAAAGCCCCTGTTACGCAATGTTGAATATTGCTCCAGGAGTGCTGGCTGGAGTTCCACTGGAGCAGGATGATGCACAGCTTGAAGAATCCAGGGTCACAGGTCAGCTGTTGGCGGATTGCTAATGAGTCTTGGTGCTCATTGATCCAGTCAAGTGCTGATTCAA